CCAGAGGCTCCTTCCCCATCCCTGCCCTGGGACGGAGCACCAGGGGTGAGGATGCGGTTGGGGCCGAACCCGCAGCTCCCCGAGGTTTTGGGTTTCTGCTCCCAGCGCCTCTGGAAGGGGAAACTGAAGCAAGGGGGAGCGGGGCTGCGCGCGGGGATCCCCCGGACGGACAGGGAACGGCTTCTGCGGCTCCGGGTCGAGCTCCCTTTGGGTGCGGGAGCCCCACGCCGCGGGCGGGTTCATCGGCTGCGGGCATCCCGCGCACCGTGGGCCACGCGGACCCGACCTCAACCCCGGGATAGGCACGGCCGGAGCCGCTCTCTGCCCACGGCCACGCAGCCCCCCCGTTCCAGCAACCCCCGACCTCATCCCCCGCCCCCTCCGCGCCGGCCCCTACCTGCGCCCCGCGCCCCGCGCCGCCCGCACAGCGCGATGAGGCCGAGCAGGATGAGACCCCCACCGCGCATCGCGGTCCCCCCCGCGGCCGGCACCCGCCGAGCCCCCGCCGGGCACGGGGCTCCGCCACCGGAGCTGGAGCGGAGCCGGGGGTGGAGCCGAGGGGTGGTGCCGGGGGTGGGGATGGGGCCGGAGGCAGAGCCCGAGCCGGGGGGTGCTGGGCCCGGTTCTGCCGGCGCTGTGCCCTCATCCCTCGAACGGCATCCTCTCATCTCACGTGCAGCGATCCCTCATCCCGCCCGCAGTCACCCTTCGCCCCACGGGCGGTTCCTCCTCACCGGCATCCCGTTGCCCCAAGGCTGCTCACCGCAGCCCCGGGCTCCCGCAGACTCCCCCGGGCCGGCAAGGCTGTGCGGAGCAGCCCGGACCCCCGGGAAGAGCAGCGGGTCTTCATCCCAAAAACGCGCAACCCACACCCTGAGACCCTCCGGGGGCGGCTTTGGGGTCCTGGCCGAGGGGCGGGGGCAGCGGCAGAGCCCCGCATCTCATCCCCACCGCCGTGGTGAGACTCATGAAGGTGATGAACGGCACCGATGCTGCAATTAACTAATGAGTCGAACGCGTGCCTCCCGTCCCGGTGCCCGCTGCCCTCTCCCGGAGGCATTTCTGTGCAGGGACAGCGGGATGAGAGCGGGCACTGCTCGACCACCGCTCAACTACTGCTGGTGGGGGGGGAAGAAGGGAGATAAAAGAGGTCCAAAAAGGAAGAAACCCTCACATAAAAAAAAAAAAAAAAGAAGAAGAAAAAAAAAATGAGGGGGCACCCGGATTTGAACCGGGGACCTCTTGATCTGCAGTCAAATGCTCTACCACTGAGCTATACCCCCTCTGCTGGGGAAAGGCGTTGGGGCGCTCAGGGATGTGCGCACGCTGCGCTGCGCCGGCGGCAGGGCGCGATGCGGGTGCGGGTTTGCACGCATCCTTACACACCCTTGCACATCCTTGCACACCCTTGCACACTTTTGCACACCCTTGCACACCTTTGCACACGCACGCATGCCCTCTTTTCTGCATGGCTCCAGCAGTGCTGCCCTCACTGCAGGTGGGGACCCGTCCCCAACCTTCAGTGGGAGCGCAGCGGGCGCAGTTTCGAGGCAGCAGCGAAGCGGAGCCGAATCCCGGAGCCGTGGTGGAGCCGTGCGCGGCCGGGGGGAGCGCCGGACCTCCCTCCCCCCCGGGACTGTTGAGGGGCGGATTAACAGGAGCCAGCGGGGGGCAGATGGGGGAGTACGGACATGAGGATGACGGGTCAATATTTGCAACCTGAGCCGCTGTGCAAACACTCTGGGGCGGGATGGGGGGGGGGGGGGTCCGGGGGGTCCCGGGGGGAGATGCCGGGGGGGTTCGGCTCTGAGCGTCGCGGCTCGGGGTACCCCGATGGCGTCAGCCGTCAGCGTCTGTTGTGTGTGGGGTGGGGGGGAACTGAGGCCCCGGGTAGAGAGAAGGGGACCACGAGGAGGACGGACGGCCCGACGTGTCCACGAGTCCAATGGAGCGGGTCGGGGGCAGCGCAGCCCGCGGCAGCCCGGCAATACGGCCCGGCACTGCCTGCAGCACCAGCCCAGCCCGTCTGGGGTTTGCTGGTGAGATGAGAGCCGGGCAGCGGACACCTCGTTAGCAGAGCTGTTAGGGAAGGTGCAAAGCTCGTCACCCCCGTGGGCGCTGGGGGGGCTGCACCGAGGGCAGGGAGTAGCGCGGCGCCGGAGCCAGACTGCTCCGAGGGGGCGGTTTGCTTTGGGGCTGTGGCACCCGGCGAGGGGAAGGCTGCAATTACGTTAATCCCTTAAACCCTGATTGCCTCCTCCTTCCCCATTAGGCGTGCAAACACACGGAGCAGCGGGGGGCAGCGGGGTCCGCGGGCTACAAATAGGCAGCGCCCACCGGGAGCCCCTCAGTGCCACCGCCGTCAGCGCCATGCAGCCGTTCCCGGCGCTCCTCTGCCTCCTCGCCGCGCTTCTGCCCGCAGCCGCCGCGCACCTCTGGGCATGGATGTACGCTCTGCCCCAACACCCGCCCGACAGAGCAGCGCTGGGCAGAAGCGCCGGGCCGGGGGGCAGCGCGGAGGAGGTGAGCGGGGGGGGATGAAGGGGAAACGCAGAAGCAACGCAGGAAGGATGGAGGGATGCGGGAAGGATGGACGGGGGGAGAGGAATGAGGGGGGCTGGATGGGGGGGGGGGATGCGGGGTCGGGGCGGGAGGGGGCGCGGGCGCGGCGGGCGGCAGCGGGCGCTCCAGTGGCGCAATCGGTCAGCGCGCGGTACTTATAGGGCAGTACGCGGAGCAATGCCGAGGTTGTGAGTTCGAGCCTCACCTGGAGCAGGAATTTTACGGGCTGCCAGAGTGACGCCGGGCCCCAAACAACCATCATCTGTGCGGCGGGCCTTACGCTCGGGGTTTTCTTTTCCTGCGAGAAAACTGCATCGAGCGGCAGTGCCCTTCTTCCAGGGATGAGTCCCTGTGAGCCAGCAGCCCCTTGAAGCCCCCTGACACTCGAGGCTCCCAAATCATCATCCTGAACAGCCCCGGCTCCGTTGCCTGGGGAATTGGGGTGGGGGACGGACAGACAGGCACACGGAACCCAAACCCAATCCCACCCCGTGCTGCCCTCCCATTTCTCACCCATCCCAGAGGTGGGGATGGATCCGGGCCCCCCTGACCCCACTGCTCTTCTTCCAATGCAGGTGACGCCGTGCGGCCCCACCAGCCCCTGTGCCCATGGACACTTCTGTGATGAACACTTCGGGCTGTGCCTGCCCACACGGCCTGCTGGGCAGTACTGCCGCCGTGACACCCACTGCGCCCACGGCCTCCTCTGCACCTTTGGGAAGTGCCAGCAGCCCGTGCCCGACGGGCAGGAGGGTGAGCAGCAGACGGGGGTGGGCAGCCCCATAACCACAACCCCGGGAGCAGAGGGATGTGATGGAGGTCGGGCTGGGACCGGGATTCATCGCAACCCCTGCTGCAACACGCATGAGGCTGAGCGACTTTGCAACACCCATTGCACCTGCATGGGGCTGGGGGATTTCAACATTTAACCCCTCTCTTTGTTGTTCCCTCCCCCCACAAAGGAGCACGGTGCCAGCAGGATGAGGACTGCGGGCCGGGTGGCTGCTGTGCGCGGCGGCACGGCGAGATGCTGTGCCAGCAACGGCTGGAGCTGGGGCAGAGCTGCCATGTGCCCCCCGGGGGTCTGGCCTTCAGCATCAACCAGGTGTGCCCCTGCCAGGCTGGGTTGGTGTGCCGAGCATCGCCTCCACCACGAGAGTGAGTACAGGCCCTCAGCAGCCCTGTGGGGAAGGGACTGATGGCCCCACGGCCTGGGGGGGGGGCTCAGAGCAGGGACTGATGTCCTCGTGTCTCCCTGCAGGAAAGCATTTGAGTATTGGCCAGAGAAGAGCGAGTGGAGGTGCCGGCAGCCCTGAGCCAGCAGCGCTGTATTTATTCCCTGTAAATAGCATGTACAGCCCCATTGCAGGACGCGTCCCTCCCCAAAAGCCAGGCAGGTCCTGGCCGCTCCCAACCCCCTCCAGGAGATGCTGCAGTCACTGCAGAGCAGAGCCGTGCTTGGTCGCAGCCCCCCACCCTCCTTGTGCACCCCCACCAGGCGCAGCCGCGGGGAGATCTCACCGAAATGTTTATTACAAAGAACCAAGCGAGCGGGGCGAGTCCCCCCACACACCAAGGAGAATAAATAAATAAAATACACTTTGTCGGGGTCTTTAAATAAAGTTTGTGGGATGACATAAATATGGGACGTCCCTCTGCCCTTTAGGAGGGCTGGGGGGGGGGGGGCCCAGCTGCCCGGCCCCGGTGGGGGCAAGCACCGGGGCAGGTGGGTCTCAAAGCACTTGGCAGGCAGTGACACCGAGTTCCCCCCAGCAAAAAAGGGGAAACTGAGGCACACAACGGGCGGAGGCGTTTTGGCAGCGGCAGAGCTGAGCACCCCGGAGCCCCCCTCAGCCCAGGCTGGCAAGGCTGGTGGTGTGGGTAAGGCAGCGACCCCAGGGCCACCCCAGCATCGCCCCAAGGTGGGGGGCGAGAGGTGAGCCCAGCCCCACTGCGAGGGTCGGCCATGGGGTGTTCCCACCCCAGTGCTGCGACCTTCATGGGGGCACAGGGATAAGGGACACCCCAGGGTGGGCACAGGTGAAGGCAGTGCCCTGGGGAGCTGGGGTGGGGGACAGACAGACAGGCACACAGACGGACAGACACAGCTGGATGGGGAAAGAGCAGACAGAGAGGGGGAGGCACAGAGGGGTTTGGCAGGGGCCAGGGCCTGGTGCTGCTCGGTGTGTTCCCATGGTCCCAGGGAAAGGGGGGGGGGTGAGGGTAGCACAGGGCCCCCCGGGACCTGCTGGGCACTGTGGCAGGCCTGGACTGGGGCAGCTGTTAGCACATGTTAGACACCCTCCCCCCAGTTGGCTCAGATTTCCCCCCCCCCACCACCAAAAACAGGCAAAATCCTCCCCCACTCCAATGCAAACACATGCAAAAACCATGCCCCCCCTCCCCCACCCCCCCCAGGCAGGCAGCACCCAGTGGGCACCCCAAAACCCTGCACACACAGCACACGCATGCACCCCTCCCACAGCTGTGGGGCAGGCACTAGCTGGGGAGGGGACAGCTGGCAGGGAACCCCTCCACCACCAGCTCAGGGGTCCCCCTGCAGCAGGGTGGTAAAAAGCACCATGGAGAAGCGGGTGCACCCTGGGGAGGGGGCTGCAGGCAGCAGGCAAGGGCTGGGTATTGGGGAGAGCGCAAGCCCCCCTCCCTGTGCCATAGGGGATGGGGATACGCCAGCCACTGGCACGTCCCCTTTGGTCACTCGCTCTCCCTGTGGGACAGAAAAGGCCCGAGGCACCGCAGGATGCTGGGAGGGCTGCGGTGGGAGGGAGACCCCCCCCTTAACACCAAGAGTGGGGTGGGGGACACCCCATGGCACAGCTGAACAGGCTTTGGGCACGTGGCCTACAAAGACACCCAGCTGAGTGCAACCCCTGGCCCCAAAGCCAGCACTGGGGCTGGGGAAAAGGAGGGTTGGGGGGGGGCATCCCTGCCTACACCCCCCCTCACCCTAGCGGATGTAAACCTCCTGTCCCCAGCCCTCTGCGTCACTCTGGTCCAGACCCAAAGGCTCCGGCGGCTCTGGGCAGTAGCGGTCGTGGCCCTTGGCACGTCCCCGTGGTCCCCGGCCCCGCTCCTCATCCCACGCACCGCGGGGACCCGGGGGGGGCCGGGGGTCCTCCTCACCGGGATCGGTCTCGACGTCCATGCAAGAGTTGCCGGGTTCTGTGCAGGCCGAATCCCGGCTGCCGGGGGTCTCCGAGTCGAAGGTGTCCTGGCGGGACAGGCGGCGGGGGGGGGCCGAGCGGGCAGGCGGTGGGATGGGCCCCCCCTCCCGGACGTTCCCCTCGCCCGGCGGCTCCCCGTGCACCAGGTATGGAGCCTGGTTGGGAGAAGCAACCACACCGTGCAAGGACAGATGGACGGGTTAGTTAAGGAGGGGGGGGGGGGCGTGAGCTGCACCCCGCGGGGCCTGGTGAGTAGGGGGGGCGCATGCGCTCCCGCCCCAGCCCAGCCTGCACACTCCGTGCCATGCAGTCCAGATGTGGGTCTCATCCAGCACTGGGGCGGGGGGAGTGGGGGGGCACCAGGGCAGGTCCAGAGCAGTGGGAGGGCATGGAGGGGAACGGAGCAGGGAGGCGGTGGGGTCAGGGTTGGTGCAGAGCAGCGCCCCGATTGCTGAAGGAATTAGCGACAGACAACACAGGACAAGCGTCCTTCCTCTGCCTGATGCCCTGGGGGGGCTGTGGGCCCCCCTCGGCTTGGACACAGCCTCTACTGCTGGACCCAGGGGGGTCAGGGGTGTCCGGGGGGCTCAGCCCCCCCCCAGGAACTCCCATAAGTCCTCGTTGTAACCCAGGAGAGCTCTGCAGGGCTGAGAGACCCCAACCCCAGGGGGCAGATCCCAAAGGGGGGCCCTGATCAAGGGAGAGCAGAACCTCACCGCAGCGGGATGGCCCCAAACCCGGGGTGGGGAGCAGATCCTGGAGTGGGGGGGGGGGGGATCGACTTCAGGGCACGGGGATGGCATCAACCACGGAGCAGGGAGCGCATCCCCAGAGGAGGGGGCAACCCCAGGGAGGCGGCTGTTCTCCGGGGCGTCCCCAGAACCCAAGGCTGTCCCTGATCCTTGGGGGTGTCCCCGATCCCCCGGGGGGAGGTCCCACGGGCGCCCCGCCGCCATCTCACAGCGCGTGCTCCTCCTGGGGGCTGGGGGTGGCGTCGGCGCCCCCGCGGCCCCAGAAGCCCAGGTTCCTGCGCAGGGAGGTGAGCACCTGTACCTGCAGGTTGGAGACGGGCGCGGGGCTGGCGGCCAGAGCGGCCGTGCCCCTGGTGCCGTTCAGCCGCGGGCTGGGGGGGGTCCCTCCTGGGGGGGTGCGTCGCCTTCCAGTAGGCCTCCAGGTACTCGGCCAGGTGCTCGCAGGCCTCCTCCAGCTGGTTCTCGTCCAGCACGATGTCAAACATCTCCTGGGGGGAGGAAACTGCGGTGGGGTGGAGCTTATGGACACGGAGCCCAGGGGCCAGGATGGCGGGAGGAGCATCGGCCACGAGGGCGGACTGCTGGCGTTAATGAGGTGGGGGGTGGAGCCTATGGATGCAAATGAGGAGAAGGGCGGAGCTTGCACACATGGGGGTGGGACCTATGTGCCCATATAAGGTAGTGGACAGAGCCTATGGCACGTGGGGCGGAGCCCACATACCCATATAAGGTTGTGGGCGGGGCATGTGTACAAAATAAGGTGGTGGGCGGAGTCTGCAGCATGCAGAGGCGCGTCCTATGTATCCATATAAGGTAATGGGTGGGGCCGGCGTACCCAAATAAGGTGTTGGGCAGAGGCTATGACACGCGGGGGTGAAGCCGATGTAACCAAATATGGTGGCGGGAGGAGCGCCTATCATTCGGTGGGAGGAGCCTACATAACCCAATATGGTGGTAGGCGGAGCCTCCAGCATTCGGTGGGAGGAGCCTACCTAACCCAATATGCTGGTGGGCGGAGCCTCCATCACTCAGTGGGAGGAGCCTACATAACCTAATATGGTGGTGGGCGGAGCCCGGGGCCAGGACAGATGGAATCTATGCACAGAGGCGGTGGTGGGAGGGGCTTCTGCCGGAAGGGGCGGAGCCAAAGGCCGCAGGGTGGTGGCAGGGGTTGGGTTGGGGACACTCACAGGCGGGCACTGCGCCAGCTTGTCGGAGGCCACCATCTGCACGTTGAGGTGCTTGGCCTGGGACTTGCCCCGAGACTTCACCAACCGCTGCAGCACCTGGAGCAGGAGAGAGGGCGGTGTGGGGTGGGGGGCACAAGAACCTCGGCCCCATCGCTGCCACCTGCCCGCCCCACGGCCCCCACTCACCTTTGGGGAGGCGATTTTGATGTAGACGATGATGGGTGCCAGGGAGGTCTTGGCCAGCTGGGCCGGGTGGTTGATGGTGTCAGCATCCAAGGCCACCAGCTGCAGGGTCCGGGCCAGCTCAAAGATGCGCTCCGTCTCACTTTGCACCTCAGCTGCCAGAGTGGGGGGACAGAGGGAGTCACAAGGGCACGGAGACAGCAAAGGGGGGCTGCGGGGACGGCTGCTGGAAATGGGACGTGGGGAGTGGGATGGGGCCAGAAGAGGCTCAGCCACACCAGCAGCACCCCAGTCCCACGGATGGGAGGCAGTTGAGCTCCCAGTGCTGGGGGAGGAAGGACTGAGACCCCCCAGACACATGCATTGGGTGGGTGCCTGCAGAGGCTGCACTCAGACCCCGCAGTAGAGCACAGTTGGGGGCACAGGGAACCTTGGGGCTGCATCCCCTGCTGTCTCCCACCCCGCGCTACCCGAGGAGAACAGGCTACATACCCAAGATATCTGTATCAGGAGCAGGGGAGGAAGGAAGCGGTGCAGAGGGAAGGAACCCCAAATGGGAAAGGAGAAAAAAAAAAGAAGAAAAAAAAAAAAAAAGAGAGAGAGAGAGAGAAGGTAAAAGGGAGGAGGGGAAGAGAGACTGAGTCAAACCGACAGTGGGAGCACGGGTCCCAGGTGCCCTTCGTCCCATGCACTCATCGCCCCACAGAGCGGAGGGGGCTGTGCAGGAAGGAGGGACACGCTGAGCATCCCAGGAGGGAAGGGACAGGAGCAGGAGGCTGCTGGGCTGATACAGATGGGAGCTTGGGGTGGCCGAGGCGCTGCACCCGCCTTACCCAGGCTGGAGCGTGTGCTGGAGCGCTCGATGATGGTGTGTTTGCTGGGGTTGTTAAGCACAGAGCGCTTGGCGAGGGAGATGTCGGCCGTCACCCGCGTGATGGAGATCCTGTGAGAAGGACACAGGCTGGAGGGGGTCCAAACACCCCCCATCAAACACCTGCTCCCCTCCTCCCACCCCAAAAGCATCAGGCTGAAGTGGAGCCTCTTTCTTCTTGAGGGCAGATCCCACTCAAACCAGGGCGTCTCCATAGAGCTAAGAGTCCTTCGTGGGACTTAGAGGTCCCCTGTGGGGTAAGGGGCCCTCTTGTGAGATTAAAGGCCTCCCATGTGCTTGAGGGTTCCTCCGTGGCTTAAGTGCCCCCCAAGGGGTTGAGTGCCCCTCGCCAAGGGGCGCAAGGCCCCGCCGCCCCCTGCCTCACCTGCCATCAAAGCGATGCTTCAAGAAATCAAACAGTGCTTTCTGCATCATATCTGTCACCTGCGGGAGGGGAGGAGGAGGGCATGGGGTCTTCTGTGTGTCCCCCCACCCTGGGGTCCCCTACCAGCCCCCTCCTCACCTCGTAGCCCTTCAACGATGGCCCCACCAGGATGATGGGCCGCATGGAGGGAACCACATCGTAGGGCGGCACGTGCTCAGCCTGCAGGGCAGCATCGGGGGTCAGGGGGCTCACGCTGGGCCGGGGGGCAGAGCAGGAGCCCAGGGTGATGCCAAGGGATGGGGAGGCCCCAGAAATGGCAGCAAAACCTATTCCCCCCTCCTCCCCTGCCCCAAACCCAGGGGTCCTGACGCTACTCACCGATTTCTGCTTCTGCTTCGCTACGTCCCGAGGCGCCGGGGCGGGCAGGGGGAGACAAACAAGGCATGCGTGTTACTGTGGGAGGGGGATTCAGGCCCCAAACTGGGCTGGGGAGTTAACAGGAAGCCCAGGGGGGGCACAGCTCCAATAGCAAAGGGAGATTGTGCCGGTGGAGCTCATTCTGTATGAATGCTGCCCTACTCTTGATTAGCGTTGGGGTGTGAGCAGGGGCTCCGCGAGGCTTTGGGTGGGGAGCAGCACCTCAGCACCCCCCTACCCACGCCGTGGTTGCACCCGAGCCCCCCAGCACCGTGCCCAGTTTGGGGGGGGGAGGAATGTTCCACTCTCATTTGCGGGGGAGACAAACACAGCTGTGCCACACACCATGCGCACACAGGGGGCCCTGGGGAGGGGACAGGGGGGGTAGGGGCCGATCCATCCCATGGATCAGGGGGCACACAGCCATGGACTGAGCCACCCCATGGACCGCGGGGGGATGCAGCCACGGAACGATCCATCCACAGACCATGGGGGGGATACAGCCAACGGAACGATCCATCCCATGGATGACAGAGGGATACATCCATGGAATGATCCATCCTCTGGATCACAGGGGGGAGCAGCTATGGACCGATCCACCCCACGGTGCCCCCGCAGCCCCCGGCAGTGTTAGGGCAGGCAGGGTGCAGCAGGCAGGCGTGGGCCAGATTGGGCTCTGTTACCTTCCTAAAGAAGGGGATGCGCTTGGAGTGGGCGGGGGGGGTGGTGACACTGCTCACACTACTCTTAGGGGAGCAGTGGGTCTCCGCAGCCTCCTCCTCCTCTAACTCATCGGGATCAAAGGCAAAGCTATGTGTGTCCAGGGCACCTGGGGACGCGCCGGGGCCGGAGGGGAGAGAAGAACAGTGATAACGGTGGTGAAAGGGGGGAATGGATGGGAGCAGGGGGGACGAAGAGTGCAGGGACCCAGGGCTGGGAGGGCACCCCGTGCACTCTGATTTGGATGTAAGCATGAGTGTGCAATGTGGGGCTGCACTTTGGTCCCACACGGGGACCAAGGGGGCTGCATGTCCCTCCCGGTGCTGGGAAGGTAGCGGGGAGGACCCAGCTGCAGGAGGGGCATTGGGAGGGGCGTCCAGTCCCCAGCAGGACAAGGCCCCCCTCCATGGGCTGGGCCGGCCCTGCTCCCCATGGGGAACCCAGACATCCTTACCACTGGCCGGAGGGGTGGGCCTGCGTGTCCCCGTCACCACGTCACCAAGGCTGGAGCTGGAGTTGTCACCTGATTTGCTGGGAGAGGAGAAGCAGAGAGGGGTAAGCATGGGGCTGTGTGAAGGTTCCAGGGGCTGGAGAGGGTGGGAAGAACCTGGAGCTCAGTCGGTTCTGCCTCATCTTCTGCTCCTGCAGCAGCCGCATGTTCTCCAGTTTGACAGGGCTGGGGATGAAGCCGACCTCGCAGCCTTCCTTCACCAGCCGCCCAATCCACCAGTCGTTGTTGTACTTCTGCACCGGGGGACGAACACAGAAAACACCTCAAAGCCTGCAAATGGACGGCGCACAGCCACCCCACACGCTGCCACCCTCAGCCCCGTGCCCTGCCAACCCCCACCCCCAAGGCCCTGCCACTTGCACCCTCCCCTCCTGCTCTGTTCCCCTCCACAACTCCAGACCCTCACCTCCTTGATGTGTAAGAAGTCTTTGGGCTCGAAGCAGATGGCCATGCCCTGCACAGGCACATCATCATTGGCCGATGGGTTGTAGCCAACATTTGTCCGGACAGCAAACGCTACCGGCTTCGTCTGCAGATGGGAAGGGATGAGTGGGGGGCAGCATCCCCCCTCCAACCCCACAGCGAGAGCCAATGCCCCATGGAAGGCTCCCAGTGACGAGGGTCCCAATTCCCCCTAATCCCACCTTGGCTTTCTCCAGCTGTGCCAGCGCCTGGCGCTCAGCCTCTTTGCGCAGCGCCTCGCGGTCCTCCTCCAGGGACACATCCGAGTCCGAGGGGCGGCTGGTGTAGGACTCAGCTGAGCCCTGCGACGGTGGGGAGGATGCTCAGCCCCAGCCCCACGCTGAGCAGCCCCAGCCCCGGCAGGCAGCCATCCCCGCAGCATCGAGGCATCCCCAAAATCCCGCACAGTGGTGCCCACCCAAGGGACAGCCTTATGGCTGAGTTCCCAGAGGACCCCATGCGTTGCCCCCAGCCTGTGCCTCAGTTTCCCCTGAGCCAGGGGGGCCGTGCCGGGGTTACGGCAGGCCGAGCGCCGGCACAGCTGTTCCCATTGCTCCGGCACGGAACGTGACACCCCGCTCCCGTCCTGCTGTCAGCCGGCTCCAGGCCTCTCGTTAAACTGAGGGAGATGAGGACCCCCCCAGAGCCGGCAGCGCCCCGGCCGTCCCCCCGTTCAGCACCAAGATGGGGGAAGTGCAATAGTGACAGCTCTGCTCCAGCCGCCCAGGGGTCCTGCAGCAACGGGGCTGCACGGCAATGGGGGGCTGGGGGTCACCCCAGGACAAGGCTGCAGCTGGGGCCTCTGCTCACCCCCCACGGCCCCTCACTTCACCCCATGCTGCAGTTAGAGCCACAAAGGGGGTGGTGAGGAGACCCCCAGGGCTGTGACCCCCATAGGAACAGCAGAGGCACCAACCCTGCAGGGTGCTGCTCCCCACCCGGCTCCTCTGTAACCCCCACATTGAGGCAGCCCCCACCCTTCCCACAGAGCAGGGCAGCCCCTTCCCAAACACCTTTGCACAGACATTACCACCGTCCATGGGGCAGCAGCCCTCCGAGAAACCCTCCCCCCCAAAAAAATCCACAGGGGCAGAAATCAGTCAGCCCCTCTCTGAGCCATTTCCCACATGCCCGCCGCGGGCGGGGGGGGGGGGGGGGGGGCAGAGGAGCGGGGACTGTGGGGCAGCAGTGGGCACACTGGGGTGGAGGGGCTGCTTTGGGGTGCTCACCCTGCAGCCCCTCTAGGTCAAAGGGGACCCCAAACCTTGGGACAGGGAGGAAGAGCAGAAAGGGGAGGCAGCAGTGGGGGGGGGGGGGGGGGTGGGATGCTCACCGGGGCGGCGAGGTGGTCTTTGCCGGTCATCTCCATGGTGGCAGGGCTGGGGGCAAGTGGGCTGGGGGGGGGGGGG